CAAACACCAAAATCCAAAGTAAATAGGCATAGAGTCTATTTTTCTTACAATCTCTCCCTTTTTGGTGATTGATGACAACATGACTAAAACAAGCAAATAATAAAATTTTAGAATTTAAAAACTATTTACTTGTTAGGATGCAATGCAAAGGGCAAGGTTATATGATGCTAAAAGATACCACATGTAAACATCTTTGAAAACTTATCTTGCCCTTGCAAATGTCCCCCTGTGGCGTTATGGATTGAAGTCTCCCCCTAACTCCATAATCCACTATCCTCCCTTTCTTGGACCATTACCACTTGTAAATTATTACGATCGGGCTTGCTTTTGGTCCTACAAATTCTCCCCCTTTGGAATTAAACACCAAAAAGGAAGACATTAGTAGCACAAGGGAGGGTCAAACTTTGTGATCCTTTATATGTGGAGTGGAATAGGTCACAAAATTTTACTCTTACATTATATAGACTAAGCTCTCCCAAAATATATGCATACATATGATAGAGAATGTAGTTTATGCATAATTGGCAAATTAATGGTCAAGGGAGTTTGTCAGTGCAGAAAGTGACCAACAAGTATATATTAGATGAACAATTGTAAAACAAGATATGTGCCGTGCTCCTAAACAATTTAAACCATATAGGTGTGCTTCAAGAGTTAAGAATGAAACATAGCAAGCCTACCATAAGATAAACCTAGTGTACGCATGACAAAAGATATAAGCATGCAAATGCAAACCTAGGCATGAAAAGGAACTAGATGCTAATTAAAATTGTAAGAAATTAAATTTATTTACCTAACATGGGAAGGGTAATTTGGGTCCATAGTATTCACTAACCCACTTAACAATTACCTTGTCCATAATGATGCACCCCATGAAATGCACCCATACTTTGCCAAGTCTCCAAATTCCCTGAAGTCCATCGGACTTCTCACTTCCCTTTCAGAATCCAAACCTTCTTGATGCTCTTCATGTTGGAAATAATCTCCTTTGGCATCCAAATGCGTTTGGCCCCATTGTTTGCTTGCTTGTTCACTTTGATAGCCACCACCTTGTCATTTTTCTTCTTCTTTAAGAGAAGGTGTGGATGCCTTTTTGTCCACCTTGTTGGTGTAGGTGTTGGAGAGCTTTCTTGTATGCTTTTTCTCTTTCTTCTTTGCTCCTCCCCCATTCTTCACCTTGCACTCATAGGACTTGTGGCCTTTCTTATGGCATACATAGCAGACCACGGTTTGTCCTTCATGAAGTTTCTTTACTCCCTTGACGGTGTTATCTTGATAAAGTTGGGCTTGCTCTATCTTGCCTTTTACTTGAGTCAAGTCCTTGATAAGGCGAGTCACTTCTTGCTTGAGTTGCTCATTCTCCATTGCAACCTCTTATGTTCATGTATCTACAATAACTTTCTCAACACAAACTTGGTTGCACAAAGGTGAGTCTAAACATAAATCATTACAAGAAGTAGAGGCATCCTTTTTAGGCATGTCAAAAATAAAACCTTCCTTTTGCGGTGCCTCGGTGGGGGAAGTACCGACGGCTTCAAGATTAGCAACTTTATTAGTTAGCTCATCACAATGTTTGCACATAGTTTCCATTTTAGCAAGCATACTTTTATAAGCATCTTGTGAGCTAGCTAACTTTTTCTTTAATTTTTTATTTTTCTTTACAAGTTGTTCATCATTGATTGTGCAATTATTTGTATTTGCACTAGTCTTAAGTTACTCAATTTTAGTAGATAGATCCATATTAAGATTGACAAAAGTTTCATATTGTTCAAGCAAAGTAGCATAAACTTGTTGTGAGCTATCTAGTTTTTCTTTTTAATTTTTCAAGCTTCTTTTGTTTACTAGTGTAAACTTTAGGAAAGTTAAGATTTTCTTGCATAATTTCATCATAAGAAGGTAGCTCATCATCATTATCATTGTCACTATCACTAGGGATAGTCTTTTTGTTACCTCATGCCATAAGGCACACACGTGAGGTGCTTGATGATGAGTGCTTGTGCCCTCGCCTCTTGTGATGGTATTCTTCTTCCCTTGAAGAATCATCCCATGACCTTATTGATGTGAGGGCTTTGTCCTTACGTGCCTTCTTCTTTGTCTTGGGTGTGGGCTTGTTTGGACAAACTTCCACAAAGTGCCCCAACTCGTCGCATCCATAGCATCCTTTCTTTCTTTGCTCATTTCTTGGATTAGTGAACATGAAATCTTGAATTTGGATGGGCACACCCTTGACGTTGAGCTTTTGGATCATCTTCTCTACCTTGTTGATAAGTTTGATTGATTCTTCACCAAGGTCAGAGGTGGAGGAGGAAGATTGATCATCATCACTTGAATTTTCATCATCATCATCATCATCATCATCTTCTTCATCTTCACTTGAGGAGCTTGAGCTTGAACTTGTCTCAACTTGCTTGCCATTCATCTTTTTTTCTCACTACATGTGAGAGCTTTGCCTTTGCTTGATGAAGAGGCTTCTTCTTGATCCATCTTGTGTGACATTTTAAATGCCACTATCTTGCCAATGACTATGGCTAGAGTCATGGTGCTCAAGTCCTCCATATTGTGAAGTATGGTGATGATGCTTGCATATTTCTTTTGTGGTAGCACGGAGATGATCTTCCTCACGATGTCCGCATCATCTAGCTTTGTTAATCCTATTGAATGGAGCTCATTGATAATTACATTCAAACAAGAATATGTATCACGAACAAGCTCATCATCACTCATTTTAAAGAAACCATAATTTTGTTTAGCTAGACAATATTTTTGCTCACGGACATTAGTTGTGCCATCATGGAGCTCTTGGAGTTTTAACCAAATTTCATGAGACGTATTTAAAGTGAACACTTGGTTAAACACATCCATGCTAAAAGATTCAAACAAGCAATTTTTAGCTCTAGCATTGAAATGGATTTTTTTTCTTCACTCTTTCTGGGTTTATCAGGATTCTTAATGGGTTTCATCCCGTCATGTTTGACTCTTCAAACACCTAAATCTACCATCTCAAGGTGACAAGTCATTCTAGCTTTATAGTCGAGGAAGTTAGTGCCGTCAAAGTACAGAGGCCTAGAGGTATCCATCCTAACTACTCTAAATAGCATCAGCTCAACGGCGGTGAATCCAAAGGTCCAAATTGAGCCAACCATCTCTGATACCAATTGAAAGGGACCGTGACGCCTAAGAGGGGGATGAATTAGGCAACTTAAAAGTCTAATTCTAAACTATGGCCACTTTTTTTAACCTTAGCAAAACATATGCAAAAAGATAAACTATCTAAATATGCAACTACGGTTTTGCTAGTGTGTTGCTATCTCTACCGTAAAAGGAGTTATGCAAACAATATAAATACGAAAGCTAAAGAGTAAGGTAGAAATATGCAAACTTCGGTCGATGACTCCGGTATTTTTAGAGAGGAATCAAGAAGCATGCAAGCTTCCTCCTAGTTCTCGTTGGAGCCCCTTGCAAGGAATCCCTCGCAAGGGCCAAGCTCCCGATCGGGTAACTCCGTGGATAGCCCTGGGCCTTCCCCACGCGCAAGTGGGTCTCCGATATGCCTTCCGGCAGGCCTCTCCCAGACCGCTCCCCACCATCTTCACTATCAAGCTTCTGGCCGAAACATCGCGGGCCTTATTCCCTCCAGTACACCGTGGCGGCCACACCACAAACGCGGTTGGTGTGATCTCGCAAGACTACAATCCCCTCTGATATACAACAATAGTGCGCGCAAGCACCGAGTGGTAAGAGGTGTGCAAACCTCACTAAACACTAGGCCCAAACCTAGAGCAAGCGCATAAGCGGTGGTCTAATCAATCTAAGCACTTCGTAAAAGCACCTAGTCTAATCACCTAATGAATCACTAAGCACTATACAAGTGGAGATCACTAAAATGGTGTATCAACACCCTTGGTATGTTTCCTCAGCTCCACACTACTCAAATGGCTGGTTGAGGATCTATTTATAAGCCCCACTGAGAAAGTAACCGTTGGGGACGAAACCCACCTTTCTGCTACTGATCGGACGCTGATCACGTCTTGACCGGACGCGTCCGGTCGCGCTGGCGCCGCTCTGGAAACGATCCGACGCTGCACTTCGTGCGTCCGGTCGTCCAGTGCCGCTGCGTTCGGTCACGCTGAAAATATTGTCATGACGATGAACAGTGTCACCGGTGCGTTCGGTCACTGCTTCACTCAGCGTCCGGTCACGGCTGATCAGTGTCCGGTCACAACTGCCGACGCCTGGTGTTGTCGAGCAACTGATCGGACCCGTCCGGTCCTTATTAGGGCCGTGTCCGATCACCTCTACCGAGGTTGTTTCTACACGATCTTGCGTCCGGCTTGGTTCCTATCTTCATGCTTGGACTTTGCTTGATATCTTGGGTCTTCTCTTGTGCTTCTAGGGTCTTGCTTATGGTGTTGATCGTGGGATCATCATGTCGCCTTCGTTCAAGTCACGTCTTGCACCTTATTGAACTACAAAACAATTACTTGCAAATTCATTAATCCAATTTGGTTGTGTTGGTCATCAAACACCAAAATCCAAAGTAAATGGGTCTATGATCCATTTTTCTTACAAGTGCTCCGATTGTTCTCCGTAGGAAAGAGAAAACCGGTTAGAAACCCTGAACTACGGATGCAAGGTAGTGAATCAAACCCAGCAGATGTTTAATAATAAAACAAAGATTAGTTGAAGAAACGGCTAAGCCAAATGTAATATTCCTTTAAACAGAACGATTCGTGCAGTGGTTTACACTTACACAAGCTATAATAATAAGAAAACAAACTTGCTACTGGAAGCCTACAACTAATTCCTGCATGTTCTTGAGTACGACGCCAAAAAAAGCACAAAGCACTACTGAATGAAGCTGTGCCACATTACAGTTCACTTGTGCGGTTAATTGCTATTCTAAATTTACTCGATTCCTACCTCTACTGTGACTTGAAAACACTACCAGTAACAATCTAATAATAACTTGGGTGGCCCACTGATCAAAGAGTTTGAGACTTTCAGTGCAGCAGCATCCTGGTGGTTATGCGGGAGATGTCGGACGGCCTGACGGGCTTCAGCAGGAAGTCCTCCGCGCCTTCCTCCAGGCATCTGAAATGAAATTCTCGGAGGACTATTTGTCAGGACTCAGGTGTAAAGGAGTGGTCGAGAAGCAGACCTGGTGGGCACGTTCTCGGAGGACATGATCACCACTGGGATCTGCTTCAGCTTCGAAGACTCCTGTTTAGGAAGGAAGCAGATCGATTGTATCAGATGTTAATGTTACTGGCGATATAGAGAGTTGAGGCTGCAGATGCCATCCCAAGTCAATGGTTAATTATCTTGACCTTCTTGAGCAGGTCGTAGCCGGTCATCTCTGGCATCCAGTAGTCTGTGATGATCATGCTCACATTCGGCTCCTGGATACATACAAAAGAAAGAAAAGGCAATAATGTTCAGTTGAGCCAAATGAAAAATCCAAGGCACGCGAATAGAGCGTCAGCGAGAAGAGCAGTTACCGAGCCCAGAATCTCCAGCGCCCTCTTCCCGCTGTCAACCGCAGTTACTGCATGAACAGAAGTAGCACAAGTTACTGAATGTTGTAATGCGTAGATTATTCGTTTGTTCTTATCAGGAAAAATCAGAAAGAAAAGGCTTGACGCATAGTCGTCCTCGTCCTCGTCCTCACCTACCTCTGTACTTGGAGTTCCTCATGCCGGGGAGCAACGCCACCTTCCTGGCCGCTGTTTGGCCCAGCACCGGAGCCATGCCAGTATTCCACAGTCCGGTCCGGACACCACTCGAGGGCAGTGGCCAGTGGGCTCGTGTTCGTATGCTACTACCTTCGTCCTAAAAATAACACAACCCTAATAAAAATAAATAATTGTATTTACAACATCAAATAGTATAAAATTAAATTTTTATAGTAAATCTTATGATTACTTATTTAGAATCATAATAAATAAATACTCCTATTCTTGAATTGTACCAACCCGCCCATCTCCCTCCGTAGCTCTCTGCATTCAGATTGATCTATCCCTGACACGTCGTAGTATGGTAAATGTAAAAGGTGTGAATATTTTGATATCGACCATAGTCACCGTACCATCTCCATCTGCCAATCCTATGGATTGATATGATATCATATGACGTGTAAACGTAGCATTTTCTTTGTCCCTATAAAAGGATACGGTTCTATCTATTGTGGTTAGTTAATCCATTTTTGGTTTAACAAATTCGCTCTAAATTATAAGACATTTTGGTTTTTTCTAGATACAATGTCTTTATTATGGATCCAGACATAAAATGTTATATATCTATAAAAGTCAAAACGTCCTATAATTTGAAATAGGAGTAATATTTATGATACAAAATAAGTATAATTAAATCCATTATGAAATAGTATATCTATTTAAAATCAACTTGAAGTAATTTGAAATTAACCAGATCTAAAAGTGCATGTTTTTTAGACGGAAGGACTATTCAATTTCAAAGTTTCACACACTAATAATGGTTAATAATATCAAATATTCGCATGGGATTGTACAAACTGTAGTCTGTATTGTCGTGCTTGGCATCAATCAGATCACCCACAAAATATGTCAACGTATAAAATTTTGATTACGCTCCACACCAATGGAATCTACTTGAGTTTTGCTCTTCTTCTAAGTTTATATTATATTTTTTATAGAAAAGGCTTGCTCAATACACACTAGCATAGTTCTCTTCGCCAGTTATGCGAGCTCATGTACCTATCTCTCCTTGTGTGGACAAACTTCCACTCCTATAAAAGCACCACTTTTCTCTACCAATGGTGGAGAGAGGGGGCAGGGGCGAGGCCCCCCTCCTATCGCAATGTTGCAAGTTTCCGTTAACGTACTTTTGCTAATCACATGCTTAAACAAGTTTTAGCTTAACCACTGTAATCTTGGCTAAGTTCCATCTCTGATATCTATACACTTGGATATTTTTTATTCAGTTAGATTGAAAGATAAATTAATTATATATTTTTAGGGACAATTAGTAGACAATTAACTTTCTTTTGTATCGCAAAACATATTTTGATTTGCTTGTTATCTATGCCCAGCGATGTTATAAGTATTTGTGTGTATATATTAACACATATGATTGTTGTTGGCATTGCCGAAATGGCTAGTAGTGGATCCATAAATTGTTTGGGTCCTAGGTGATCCTCACTATTCAAAGTAATTTACCTACAAGAATATTATGTTATCCTTGCAACAAAGAAAAGTCTCTTGCGCTTTGTCAGCAGGACAAGTAGTCAGGGTATCTGTTGGGGGTCACTAGACGAGGGATCCGGCCATATCACAAGCATATGCATTGTGTCTGAAAAGGACCGAGACGCCTATAAGAGGAGGTGAATTAGGCAACTTAAAACTTTAACTCTAACTAAGGTCTCTAATTTCACCTAGTCAAAACCTATGTAAAAGATAAACTATCTAAATGTGCAACTACGATTTTGCTAGGTGTGTTGCTATCTCTACCGCAAAAGAAGTTATGCAACCTAGGTTCCAAACCTATCAACTAGCCTATTACTAAGCTAGGAAAGTAAAGCACACACCAAGATTGCAATGTAAATGCGGAAGCTAAAGATTAAGGTAGAGATATACAAACTCACATCGATAACTCCGGTAATTTTACCGAAGTATCGAGAAGCGCGCAAGCTTCTCCCTAGTCCTCATTGGAGCCCCTCGCAAGGAATCCCTCGCAAGGGCCAAGCTCCTGGTCGGGTAACTCCGTGGATAGTCTCGGACCTTTCCCACGCGCAAGTGGGTCTCCGACGTGCCTTCCGGCAAGCCTCTCCCGGATGCTCCCCATCATCTTCACTATCAAGCTTCCGGTCGAACCGTCGTGGGCCTTATTCCCATCGGTACACGGTGGAGGCCACACCACAAACGCGGTTGGTGTGATCTTGCAAGACTATAAGTCCCTCCGATGTACAACAATGGTGCGCGCAAGCACCGAGTGATAAGAGGTATGCAAACCTCACTAAACACTAGGCCTAAACCTAGAGCAAACGCATAAGCGGTAGTCTAATCAACCTAAACACTTCGCAAAGCACCTACGCTAATCAACTAATGAATCACTAAGCACTATGCAAGTGGAGATCACTAAAATGGTGTATCAACACCCTTGGTATATTTCCTTAACTCTCCACCTCTTAAATGGCCGGTTGGGGGGTCTATTTATAAGCCCTATGGAGAAAGTAGCCGTTGGGGACGAAACCTAGCTTTTTGCTACTGACCGGATCTGCTATCGTCCTTACCGGACGCGTCCGGTCGTCCCAACCGTTGAGCGTGCGTGTAGAGATCGGACGCACTGCCGAGTCCGGTCATCATCGATCGGACGCATCCGGATGCAATTCCGCCGCTCTGGAACCTCTCTGGACATGATCGGACACTGCACTTTGTGCGTCCGGTCATCCAGTGCCGCTGCGTCCGGTCACGCTGAAAACATTGCCGTGACAAAGAACAGTGTCATCGGTGCGTCCGGTCACTGCTTCACTCAGCGTCCAGTCACAGCTACTGACGCCTACTGTTGCCGAGTAACTGATCGGACGCGTTCGGTCCTCATAGGGCCGCGTCCGGTCATCTCTACCGAGCTCGTTTCTTTGCGATCTTACGTCCGGCTTGGTTCCCATCTTCGTGCTTGGACTTTGCTTGATATCTTGGGTCTTCTCTTGTGCCTCTAGAGTTTTGCTTATGGTGTTGATCATCGGATCATCATGTCGCCTTCGTCCAAGTCATGTCTTGCACCCTATTGAACTACAAAACATTTACTTACAAATTTATTAGTATAATTTGGTTGTGTTGGTCATCAAACACCAAAATTCAAAGTAAATGGGCCTAGGGTCCATTTTCCTTACAATCTCCCCCTTTTTGGTGATTGATGACAACACGACCAAAACAAGCAAATAATAAAAATTTTAGAATTTAGAAACTATTTATTTGCTAGGATGCAATGCAAAGGGCAAGGTTATATGATGCTAAAAGATACCACATGTAAACATATTTGGAAACTTATCTTGCCCTTGCAAATGTCGCCATGTGGCATTATGGATTTAAGCCTCCCCTAACTCCATAATCCACTATCATCCCTTTCTCGGACCATTACCACTTGTAAATTATTATGATCGGGCTTGCTTTTGGTCCTACAAATTATCCCCCTTTGGAATCAAACACCGAAAAGGAAGACATTAGTAGCACAAGGGAAGGTCAAACTTTGTGATCCTTTGTATATGGAGTGGAATAGGTCATAAAATTTGACTCTCACATTACATAGACTAAGCTCTCCCAAAATATATGCATACATATGATAGAGAATGTAGTTTATGCATAATTGGCAAATTAATGGTCAAGGGAGTTTGTCAGTGCAGAAAGTGACCAACAAGTAAATATTTATAGTTTTGCCATACGTTGTGATCGGAGGTGGCCTAGCACTCAATGACACAGGGTTTATACTGGTTCAGGCAACGTGCCCTACGTCCAGTTTGAGTCAGTCGGTGACTTTATTCCTGAGCCTAGGTACTCGAAGTTTGCAGTGGGGTTACAAACGAGAAGAAGAAAGATAGGGGGAACAAGAGGTCCGGTCGGACTCCGGTCGGAAGGGCTGAGAGTGATGGGAGCCATGCTATGAGCTAAGTGTTCAAGCGTGTGCTTGTGGTTCAAACCTGGCGGTTCTATGGTTGTGTACTAGTGAACTTGATCGATCTGATGAATCTGACTAAGCTTAATGAACCTTTTTTATGTTGGGAGAGAGCGGATCCCCTTTTATAGATGAAAGGGATGGCCTTACAAGTGAGAGGGAGATAGTACGTATGCTTCTAAGCCTTATTGCCCACACCGATGGGTACAGGACGATGGTAGGCGCCCACAACACTGTAGGATGTCAGATGCACGTGGGAGGTTGTGTTGTCTTCTTCGGGTATGGCAAACATCGACGCCTGCCATACTGTTGATACCTGGAGGCATGCAAGGGGTCTTACCATGTTCGCTTGGTACGGTAAATGCTGACCCCCACAACACTGTCGATGCCCAGAGGCATGTGGGGGAGCCTTACCGTATGGGAGTTAATGGCACCCACAATACTGTAGGGGAAAATGTCGGCGCTTACAATCCTGCTTGGGTTCTATCGTGCCAGGGAGGTTACAGAGCACTATTTCTATAAGTGTATAGGGTACGGTCTCTGGTATTGTGGTTTGACTTGTGCACCCTGCCTTGCTTTCTCCGTTCGTTCCCTGGTCCTTACCGAGCGGGCGTCCCCGGTCGGTTGGTCCCAGTCGGCTCTGATCGCGCCAATCGGAGAAGAGCAGTGAGCAGGGGTTTGGCGCATCCCCGGTCGAAGATGCGGGTCAGAGTTGGAAGTAGTGCTTTGGACAGGCCTTTCGGTAGGAGAGGCTGTCCGGAGGCGGGCTGGAGACCGAAGCGAGTGCTCCGGTTGGAGAGGTGGGCCAGAGTAAAAAACGAGCGCCGTTCCTCCTCGGCCAGGCCTTCCGGTTAGTGATTGGATCACCCTTCTAGACTGTTGTTCAAGTACTTGAGTTGGCCCATGAGGTGTGCGTTGTTTGCAACGTTCCCTACTAGGCCGAGCTTTTGTTGGGAAGCCGGTCCACGAGGGACCCCAAGTTTATGAACCCGACAGAGTTTAATCTATATAATGCATGGAGAAAGCATATAAATACCAAAGTGAAATCAACGTGATGATATCGGTTTAGAAATACCACATGTGGAAACCAATTTGATTTATAC